TGATCACTATCTTTACGTTACTTTGCAAATTCAAACCGCTATCATTTCCTTTAGGTCAAATTCTCTCAGCTTCTGTCATTTCATCTAACGGTGCTTATCGCCTCTTTTTTTTTTTTTTTTTTTTTTTTTTTTTTTTTATTTCTAAACGTCATCTATTCTTTCCCACTAAATCATGAATTATGCTACCTAATTCCTAGTTAGGTTAGTTATAATCTAAATCTTACCAACCATGCTTCGTTTGTCCCGATAAGGCTCTATCCTCTCATTTTCATGACACCTGTTCATCTCCTCATTAAATTCATAGTAGAAACTATGATCAATACAAGAATGATCTTTAAACTTCACTAATTATACCCTATCAAAGCTTACTTAGTAGATAACCAATCTTCATAAAAAAAAATGGTGCTATAAAACTAATTCAGTTATTAAAATCGGGTAAAATCATTCGTAGATATAAACATGTCTAGTAATTTTCTCAGCAAATCTATATTAATATCTCCATTGCTCGTTAACATCCTATCATCTTGTATTAAGTTGATGTATTAAGTTGATGGGTATAATTATAAATAAGAATGTCACATTAGATAAAATTAAATATAAATTTCTTAAGTATATAAGTGAAAACACTTATAAATATAACATTTTGAAATTTTATATTTAGATTTAGTATATAGTTTATTTATATACTTTATTTAAGATTTTGAGTTTAGATATGAACATATTGTATTGTTGGAGAAAAAATGATAATGTGACATTCTTCTGTTGTGTATGTGTATATACACACACGCGCGCGCACACATACATACACACACACACACACACATATATATATATATATATTACTCTAACTTATCCTTGCATGTTTTCATGTGATTTATACTACAATGATTATATGTGGTACGCGAGTAAAACAATGATAAGTTTGGAATGTTGTAGTGGAGGCCATGCAGTAACATTGGGATTGGATGTTTTGTCAACTACCTAATGAGGGTAGATTTTTATAAATAGTAGTAGTTGTTTGACTGATAACCTAAGTTGTATAATTTTTATTTATCAAATTTCTGTATTTATATTGTACATATTTATGAGATTGTTTATCTTCATATGCATGTAGTATAATACATGTTTCTCGTATTTATAAGTTTATAGTTGTATGCTAGATGTTTTTCGCTACTAGTAGTTGTATCATATAATATAGGGACCAAAACGAGTCGTTACATGAAATACTTTGCGTCTTTCAATATCTTATTTAAAATAATATAAAATACAAAAAAGAATGATGATAAAGTGAACAATTATTTTTTTTATATATTTTTTTTCTTATTTTTCCTTAAAAGATATGATGATAAAAAATTTAATATATAATAAAAGGGTTTTAATATCTAAAAAATTATGAAAACCAAATAGAGATATCTTTTTGTATATAGTATAGATATAGAAATATAGAAATATTATAATTATAGATGAATGGGATAAGATGCATCGACAAGTCACTTGTTAATGCTTATTTAATTTTCTTCTCACTTTGATTTAAAAATTATTTCTTGAAACAATTTTACATTATTCAACAATCAATTTTTCATCCAAAATTTATATTAAGTTCTAGAACTTGCTTTTCAACCAAATATTTTTTTTAAAAAGATTAAATAATATTTTTTTCCTTTATCTTATTTGGTAGGTTTAGTATGATCCTTTATTTGTTAAAATGTTCATTTTTTGATATTTTATATTTTACATTTGGATCAATTTGATTTTTGTAAAATAATAATCATTTTTAATCTTGTAAAATAATTTTGAATCATTTTTTTTATTAATTCAATATCTGAAACGTGTAACCTTAGAATCACTTATATAAAAATAAAAAATATTCAATTAACGTTTAAATTAAAAACTATATATATATAATAAAAAATCCCATAAAAAATATATTCTAAATAATTAAAAAATAATATAAAATTATATTTTGAATTTTTTATTTTTTTAAACTTATTTTTATACTATTTACAACATGCTTATAACATTTTTTGTTTTGAATTTCAATTATAATTAATAATTTTAATATAAGTGAATATAATGAGATAAATTTTAAATTTTGAATCAAGAAAAAAATAATCAAAATCTTATCTTAAGATTGAAATAGTTATTATTTTTAAAAAAGATTAAACTGATACAAATTTTAGAGTTAAAAAGATTAAAATAAATATTAAAAAAAACTGAAAAAAGCATAGTTTTCCCCCCTAAATTGATTTGATGCCGTAAAATCTCTTATTGGCAAACTCTAGTGTGAGGAAGTGAACCAAACAATTCGCTAGTAAAAATTAAAAAACCTGTCACAGTAGTTGAATATTATTTTAATAGGTTAATTATATTTTATTTAAAATTGTTAAATAATAAATAAACTGCTACAGTAAATAAATATTATTTTAATAAGATAATTATATTTTTATTTGAAAATTATAAATAATAAATAAACTCCTTTAAACATATATGAGTACTTAATAAATTTTGGGATTCTTCTATATAGTGAGTAGTGTCATTATTTTATCCATAAAAAAATCATGTTGTTAATATAGAGCTTGTTTGAATATACTTTATTTATTCTCTATTATAAATAAATAAATAAAATATTTTTTTATTCTTAAATATAAGTAAATTTTAACTATTTTTATCTCATTTAATGATACCTTTCTTAAAATATTTTTTTTAATGTATAATTTTTCCATAACACTAATTCTTTTGATATTTATAACAATAATAATTTAAGAAGAATGTTATGAAATTAGTAAAATTTAATACAAATAACTAATTTTTTTAATATATATAAAATAAAATAAAATTACTAATGATAGAGAATAAATAATAAGTTATAAGCGTTTTTAAGAGTTTCTCTATTAAAAATAAAGTGTTATTTTTAGTAGAGAAACTCTTAAATATACTTATAAACTTATATCCAAATAGAGTACTATAGTGCATACATATAAAGATGAACAATTACATAAACATGTGCTATACAAATATAATAATTCTGTACATGTAAACTATACAACCTAAGTTGTCGGTTAAACAACTTCTACAAAATTATGCAGAACTACCCTAAAAGGTAAGTCATCAAAAAGACATCCAACTCAAGCACTATTGTATGGAACCATTGCAAAAACTTCATATACTTGTCTCTGTCCTACTTTCACGTCATATATGATCACTACAGTCCAAATTTTACAAAAATACCCAAAGGTAAGCTAGAGTTTAAAGAACAACATATATACAACATAAAAACGGCAACAACCTTAAATACATCATCTCATCTTCGACACTAACAACACAAGACATCACAGTATAACAACACATATTAGCATAACAACTCAATTTCAACACGTCAACACAAATAACTCATTATACTACAACATAATACCAACTCAACATTACATCATTTTCAACACAGATTGATTATGACAATGACATAGTATTTACAACACAACAACTATATGCATCCGTCACGTATTTCAATTAGAAGATCTCGTAGAGATCTCATTCAAAACAAGATAGGCAGTTTAAGTGGCTTGACTGTATCGAACCGACAATATAAGGTGATCTTTTTGGACTTGTTAGATCAATAAAAAATTGGATATAAATCCACAATACAACAACTCAATGTCTCAAATGTCGTCACTTAAACAATGAAGTATAGTACCACTATTAGGATATACTAAATGGGTATGAGTCTACAATGACATTAGCTAGTTTAACTAAGTCTTTTATGAGATTAGCCCACTGACTACCCTCCAAATACTATGCCTTTCTGATACTAGGTTGGAAACTAAGTTTTCGATTTTATATTTTACCTGGTTTTTCACTTGCAATAAGTATAGCTCAACCTGTCCCTTATATACTATGCTCACTTTATACACATGTGTCTCGACCTTGCTTACATACAATACCAACAAAGTCCTAAAGGAGACTCAATATAGTTATTCACTTGAAGGGTCAACTTTCCAAGAAGGGTTTTCAACATATTTAAGCTCTTATTGGAGTACCACATCACAATATCCGTACAATAGGATATACAACTTTCAAAAATCTTTCCTCTAGTCCTAAGCTGATCATCACAGCTCAACAACACAACAACTTCACATATATTTAACACCACTACACAACCAACACATATCTCAACTCATTCAACTTTTCAATCATCATTCATCTCAGAACATCATCATATGTAGAATAACAACACTTAACAACTTTAAAATATACAACATATACATTTATTCATCTCATATTCAACAATCATCAAATTCATCAACATGCTCTCATTTAGCTAATAACATTCAATGCAACACATTCTGCGCTCGACGCCATCGAGGCAGGGAACTCTTTGCCTCACCCATGCCCGATGTTACACAACTCAAACGCGGTGTGGATAAGATAAAGGTTTCTAAGACCTCATGCTTGGCATGAAAAAATGCGATGCCTGGTCTCATTTCAAGTAGAGAGTCTTTGCTTGAGTCATGTCTGATGTCATCATATTGGCACCTAATGTCATCCAGATAAAGAGTTTTGACTTGGCCATGCTGGGCGCCACTCAACTCTAGGCCCGACATCACCAAGTTAGAGACCTCCCAACAATCTCACGTTTGACACCGTTCGAACCACACCTGACACTCTACTAACCTAAGACTAGTCTCTCTCCTCATGCCTAGGGTTGTGGATCTTGTGCCCAACGTAATTAAGATAGAGAGTCTCAAGT